GTATAGAATGGTATTCCAGTCAGGCATTCCTTTCCTAATTTCCCTTTTCTCTGTTTTGTCTCTTTTGCCTATTCCTCTGGGAATGGAGTGATTGATGGCCTAATCCAATAACTGTATTACATTGCTTCAACCTGGGCTCTTTTCCTTATCATTAGCAGTTAGCCTATGGTTAAATTCACAGCTCACTGCTTGGTGTAGCCCCAGAGATTTAAGGGTCTGGCCTTTAAAAAATATTTAACATAAAATTGAAATCTTGACAGTACTGAGAATTCACTTCCCTGCAAGCTCTGTTTAATTAATCTAACATACTGTTCTGCAGGCCTGCTAGGTGCTGAAGTAGTGGCATGTTGTTACTGCAACATACAGCAAGCTTTAAAATGGCTCAGCACAATAATTATGTCCTGGTAAAACAGAAACTGAACACTCGTGTACTTACATTTTAAAGCCACAGTATATATGCAGTGACATATTTAAAATAACACCTAATTAAAAAAAGAACACAATTTTAAAACAGGGAACTATTGATATCCCATAATAAAACGAGGTATCACTTTGCCTAGTTTGTTTGAAAAGGGGACAAAAGAACACATGTCCCATGGGCCTTTTTTTGTACAAATGGTGAGGAGCAAGTTCCTGCATAGCCAGTACAGGCCATGCTCATCACCCATCATGCTTCTGATTCTGTAAATGCACAGACTACAACTACCATCAGCTTTTGCCACTGGTGGCTTGTAGTACTGAATGGACTGCAAGGTCTCTGATAAGCAGCCTTGTTTCTTCACAAACCCTGCAGCTTGTAAACAATCAGCTCTTATGAAGGTAGGGACTAAAAGCTGCAGGGCTTGTCTGCAGGCGTCTGGCATTGCACCTCTGATCCTTTGATCATGCCTGTAATGCTTTCCAGGCTCTTTAGGGAACAAATAATAAATGCCCATTTCTTTCCTGAAAAAAATGTGAATTTAGCCTTTAACCACTTCAATACTGGACACTTTTACCGCCTCCCTGCCCAAGCCAATTTTCAGCTTTCAGCGCTCTCACACTTTAAACGACCATAATGCGGTTATGCAATGCTGCACCCAAACTAAATGTTGTTCACACTTGAGCTTTGGTTGTATTTAATCACCAATGGATTTTTTTATTTTTTGCTAAATTAACAAAAAATACTGAAAATTTAGAAAAAAAAACCCACGTTTTTCTTTGTTTCTATTATAAAATTTTGCAAAAAAATAATTATTCTTCCTAAATTTTGGCCAAGATGTGTTCTGCTATATTTCTTTGGTGAAAATAACCCAAATCAGTATTTATTATTTAGTCTGTAGGAAAGCTATACAGTATATACAGTATCTGAAAATCGATCAATCCTGAAGCACTGATGGCCAGTCTAATTTCTTGAGGCCCAAAAATGACAGGACAGTACAGATATCCCTCAAATGACACCTTTTTGCAAATTAGACAGTCTGAGGTATTTAGTAAGAGGCATGGCGTGTTTTTTGAAGTTTTAATTTTTTGTCATAATTTTTTGGAAAATTAAGAAATTAAAAAAAAAAATTTCACTCATTTTTTTTTCATTCTGTCACCAGTGCAGTACAGTGTCATCATATAACTGGTGTGACAGTGATTAGGGACACTGATTGGTGACAGTGCAAAAAGAGAAAAAACGTATAACTTTTTAACTTTTTATTATATTTTTTCCATTTTTTTAAGATTTTTTTTTACCATAGTAACATTGTACTACTCTGGTGAAGCGATCAGTATTTTTTTACTTACACATTATGATTTCTTATACTATAGCAAAGAATTTATTTGCTATAAGCAAGCATTTAACTGAATGAAATCGATTCATTCAGTTTTTTTTTGTTGTGATTAGCTCTGATTGGCCACAGCTATTAACATGCCACATATGGGCTGTGATTGGCCCAGTCTGTACATGTGATCACTGTGACCAATCACAGCTAGTGACACAATTGTACACAATGGATGGCATAAAAGGAAGCCATCTACTGTTTACAATTGTCATGTGACCTGCTGTGATTGGTCACAGCAATGGGCCAGTACACATGTCTGTCATCGGCTGTGTCTGAAATACACAGCTGGTGACAGATCTTGCCCTGCGGGTGACCCAGATTGACGAGATTTCCATTCGGCCGTCATTTTGCTATTGGCCAGGTGGGAACAGGTTAAATAAGATGCTTGAGGGATGCCCTTAATCTGCCTGTGAAATGGCACATCTGTAGAATGGAAAAAAATGACATTTACAAAGAAAAAATGCTATTGAAATTTCTGATAAATGACAGCTCCCAGCTGCTTTGTTCTGTTTGTAAACAAAGAGACTGGATGTTCCCTTCATCTATACCAGACCATTATCTTAGATGTTAAGATGTTAATAGGGAACTCCACAAAAAAGAAGTTTCCCCTAAATATACTGTATATACCTACCAAACCCTTTTCTTTGATGAGCAATCCCACACAAAAAAGCCCCCTCCCCAATATTCATAGAAGACCCATCCAGCCAAGAATACTGTAGATTTTAAAGGAGGATGCCAACACAAAGAACAAACATAAAAGTAGGGTCCCCCCAAAAGACTATATACTAGAACTTTGCCCAAACATGAAGCCTGACTGGCCAAAAAGGGGGTGGGGGGGTAGCTGTGTATGGTAGCCAATCAGCTTCTAACTTCAGCTTGTTCAATATGCTTTGACAAAACAAATCTGGAAGCTGATTGATTTTTATTCAGAACTGCACCAGATTTTGCACTCTCCAGCTTTAGTAAATCAACCCCTTTGAGTCTGGTATAGATTTTAACCACTTGCCGTCTGAGGCAATTTTTACATTTTTCACATACACTCACTGTCCACTTTATTAGGTACACCTGTTCAATTGCTTTGTAACACAAATTGCTAATCAGTCCATCACATGTCCGCAACTCAATACATTTAGGCATGTAGATGTGGTAAAGACAAAATGCTGAAGTTCAAACTGAACATCAGATTGGGGAAGAAAGGGGATTTAAGTGAGTTTGAACATGGCATGGTTTTGGTTTGAGACTTTCAAAAACTGCTGATCTACTGGGATTTTCACGCACATCCATCTCTAGGGTTTACAGAGAATATATTGGACAATAGCTTCAGTCTCTGTCATATTCCCTATACCTCAATTAAATGCTTATATGTAAAATACCATATTTTTCGCCGTATAAGACGCACCTGACCATAAGACGCACCTAGGTTTTAGAGGCAGAAAACAGGGAAAAAAAAATTCTGAACTAATGGACTGCAGACACAGTACAGGAGATGACCAGAGACTGCGGACAGCACAGGGATGACCAGAGACTGCGGACAGCACAGGGATGACCAGAGACTGCGGACAGCACAGGGATGACCAGAGACTGCGGACAGCACAGGGATGACCAGAGACTGCGGACAGCACAGGGATGACCAGAGACTGCGGACAGCACAGGGATGACCAGAGACTGCGGACAGAGGACAGACTGAGGACAGCACAGGGATGACCAGAGACTGCGGACAGTACAGATGACTGCTGACCTTTGGGGAAGTGGGGAGCGGGTACCTGAATTTGACAGGTACCCGCTCTTACTTCCGCAGAGTTTTTGATCTTACCTGTTCCTCGATCCAGCCGCGCGCTGTCTTCCCGGCTTCTGTAATGGCGCTCGGCATGACAGCCGGGTGCCCAGGGCGCATGAACGAGAAGCACTTGCGCTTTGTGATTGGTCCGGCGGCTTCTGGGATCTGTCATGTGTCCCAGGTACCGCCTTACCATTCACAAAGCGCACCGCTTCTCGCGCATGCGCACTGGGCACCCTGCTGTCATGCCCAGTGCCCACACTACAGAAGCCGGGAAGACAGCACGCCGTTGGATAGAGGAACAGGTAAGGTCCCGCTGCAGAGCTGAGCGGCCGGCCCGGTATTCTGACACGGTGGCCGCGGTGGAAATACCGGACCGGCCACTCCATATTCGCCTTATAAGACGCACTGACATTTCCCCCCCAGTTTTGGGGAAGAAAAAGTGCGTCTTATACGGCAAAAAATACGGTAAACATTCGCAAAAAATAATAAAAAATTAAACAATACTTTCCATTTCCATTATAGTTTCCCTTTCAACATGAATGCAAAATTTGATTAAACAAAATAAATACAGTAAAATATATTATTTGAAAATAATGTTTATCATGCTCTTTCTATGTGCATCTCATATAAAAGGTTTAACTAATAATACTGAAAATTATTATTTAGAATAGAAAAACATGTTTGTTTCATTTTTCTAGATTGTGGACCTTTGGTAGCACTTATTGCTTAGATGAGTACATCATTTTTAGAGGCACTACATATAAAATAACCTTGAATTAAGCAATGCACCTTTGACCTTGCCTTGTCATTTACGGAAGTGAAAGCCTGTATGAAGATGGCAGCTGGGTCCCTGATGAAAAATTATGCATCTCATAAACCACTTTTCTGCTGAAATGTCAAACCAGAGAAGGTCTCTACCTCAAACTTAGGAATTGGCATTTTCCTTCTGTCTCCTTTGTTGCTATGAAGCACTCATGAGCAGTCATGACATATCTTGGACAGGTAAGGGGAACGAACTGTCAAAAATCTATTATTAGGGTTCTGATCTCTTCTACACTGACTACTGATGACACCATGTCAAGAGATATTGAACAATGTACAGGGGAAAAAAATCATAGCAGAGGAAAAATAAATAATAAATAATTACTTCACTACACAGTGGGGCAAATATAGGATTGTGTGCTTGCCACTAACGTCAGAGTTTTATTGCATAGCAGAAAATGGGAAGACGAAAAATAAAGAAACATGTTTCCTTACTGTGGACGTATTAACCTAACCTCTGATGTAAAAAAGGAAAAACTTGCCTGTGCTGTTTCCCTGTGTTACCATGTACTACATTTCAGAACACCACCACAGAAAAACAGCCTGTAAATGTTATTAGAGCATGCACATCTACATTGACTGCATACATACAGTATACTGATGAACACATAGAGCTAACAAAAACACAAACAGTGCAATGATTTATTGTGGTAAGCAATTATAGCAGGTAACATTTGTGGTGGAGCAACTGTAATATTTGTGGAACATACTGCAGAATTTGTGGGGTAACAACTGTCAAATTTGCGGTGGAGCAACTGTAATATTTCTGGAGCATGCTATAAAGCAAATTGCACTTTCACTTGTGTAGAAAAAAATCCTTGCACTGACCCTGCAGCCCAGCACAGGGCCTGCAGTCCACTTTTCATATTTTTCATTGACATGTGTTTTATTATTCTAAACATATTTTATATGATAGTTTATGGGTACAAGAATGCTTTTGTTTTATTTAACCATGCCCCTTCATGCCCCTCCCTTGCAATTCGGCCACACCCATTGTTCACCGTGGCCCACTATGCTCGCTGCATTGCTACTCTCATTGGGGCACTGAAAGGTGTCTCGGGTCTTTTACAATCATATAGTGTTCTCATAGTTTCAAGCCTCACCTCATGCATGGATTAGGAGGGGTGTCGCTAGGAAGGAAGAAAAGTGCCCAAAAGCAGGCCTTAGCTTACTTTGTCTTTCCCAGTGGTGCCACGCATGTGGGGGGGGGGGGGGCAACTAAGTCTTCATCTCGGGTCAAAGAATGTCTGGCTCTGCCTCTGCAACCACTAATACTTCCCCCCTATCACACCAGGAAAAATCTAGCCTTTTCTTTTGAAAATTGTCTCATTCTAATTGAAAATCTGTATCCAGGTGAACAGAATAGAGAGAGAACACAGAAAGATAGTGAAGCTTTACCTATACAGCTTTGAAGAGGCTTTCTTTTTAAAGCAAAGAAGCCTAAAGTGGAACTGCACTGCACCTGACTACCATAAACCAAAAATGCTATTTAATTAATTGTTATTATTCAAAGCAAACTCCCTCATCCATCCATGACTCCATGCTTTATTTTGCTGAAAATTCATTTTGAAAAACACCCCCTTATATTTCTGGCAGTGGCCATCTTGAGTAAGGGCAGATGATTCATGTAGCATGTACTTTACTTAGGTATTGGCTGAGCTGAGAACCCTACCTCCCCTCCTGAAGACTGCTGGGATGTATGACATCATTTGCCTAGGAAATAACTGAAGCAAAAAGTTAAAAACAAGTAAATATAATATATTTTCTCATATATTTGCTAATGCTAGCAGCATAAGGATCAAACATAGTCCATGCTGATGAACACAGTGAAGTTCCACTTTAAGTTAGTCTTTAAATACTGTGTGTGAAAAAGAGTTCCTTGCTCCACCTGCTGGCTGGAAATATTAAGCTGAAAATATCAATGTGATATTTCAAAATACCGAACAAAAAAATAAATAAAAAATCCGCTTCCTTTAAGTAAAGGTTTGAACCACACTGGATAAAAAGAAAAGCGTTTAGCCATTTTTCATGTACTATTATTAAAATAGTATGCCTAAAAGGCTTATCTGACAAATAAAGAATGACATGCAAAAGAAAATAGCAATGAACAATTTATTAGAGTTACGGTGTAATAGCACCCTTGGTGCAGTTACACAAAGGGTCCCCACTCTAGCCCCAGCCTGCTAGCTTAATTGTAAAAAAGCATTAGCAGATTTATGAGGCCATCCCCCAACTCACTCTCCTCTCAGTATGTTGTTTGTCCTCAGATTTGCCTACAATACACCTAATTAGCTTCTAGTCCTGCTCTCCCTCTCAGTCTGAGCAATGCCTGTTGTGTTTACACATAGAGCCTCACCTTTTGTAGAGATTTTCCAGCTAACAAATTATAATATGAGCACCAACAGTCTTAGAGTAATCATCAATGGGGCAGAATAACTGAGTAGTTAGCACTTTACACTCACACAGGGTAGCCACCACATGCTTTAAAGGAAACGTCACCCTACACATGATCCTCTCTTGCAATTTGGACCTTTAAAAAAGTCTATATCACTCACTGTCTTCCCCTGACAGGAAAATAACAGTTTTAAAACATGGTAGCTCTTAACAAATGCGGTTCTTAATCTCTAGTTGGGGCATTCAGAGATTAAGCTTAACAATGTTAAAAATAGTTTTAATGAAAAGAAAAATAAAGAAAAATGGTGCAGTAAATATTTACAAAAATTACTCTACTAAACAGACATAAGCAACAGTAAAAAGAGTATTAAAAGTGAAAAACACTTAAGTAGAATTTCCTTGGTATATCACTTAGGGCAGAGTTTGGATCGCTTGTGGAGGGCCATTTCTGGCCCTCAGAAATGTGACTCTTGATATTCTTGGTAGTTTTGTTGTCTAGTAAAAGCTCCAACTATCAAATACAATTTTCATGACCATAGGGAGGATGTTGCAGCACTCACTCTAACCAATCAAGTATCCACATGATGTGATGGAAGTGTGTTGAAGAATTTTATATTATGCTCAGCTGACACACTCTTAATATCACCCATCCTAAATACATCTATATTTCCACATGACAGGGTTTTACAGTCTGACAACTAGCATTGTATTTAGCAGAATGAAATTTCATTTTGTTTGATACCATCTATGATATAGATCCAGAAGCGGACTGACAACTCATGGGGCCCCCTGGCAATAGGGGATCATGGGGCCCCTGTGTCCTTGCCCAAACTCAAAAAAGCCTATGAAAAAGGTACCAGGGGCATCTCATGGGGCCCCCTACTTTTTTTTTTTTTTTTTTTTATAAATATTTATTAGTTTTCAATCCACATACAAGTCATTTCAACATATCTCTTACAATATTTATCAAAAACATATTTTCTCCTTATAAAATTTATTCCTATATATGACTTTCTTTTCATACCATACCATCCCCCCCCCTCCCAAACACCCCCCCCCTTCTCCCCGTCCCCTCCCTTCCCTCCCTCACCTTCCCACGCTCTATATTCTCTCTTCTCTCATTTACTCCATATAATTCTATTATTCCTAAATCCAATTCTGAACCGACTACCCAGGACCTTATCTCTTCACCTTTTTCGCCATTTCTTTATATTCTCCCCATCCTTTCCATTTTTTATTGTACATCTCCAGCTTATCCTCATGGGTATAATACAATCTCTCTGTCCCAGAAATCTGGTTTACTCTACCCATCCAGTCTTCCTCCGTTGGCACCTCTCTTTTCTTCCAGTACCTGGGTATCAAGCTCTTTGCTGCGGTTAAGTAATACCATATCCCTGACCTCTTATATACTTTTACTGGGAGTTCTGAGATATGGAGGAGGCATAATTCTGGGTCTAATCCTATATTGATTTTAGTAATCTTTCCCTATCAAGTAAACTATCCTTCGCCAGAACACCTGTATTTCTGGACACTCCCACCACATATGATACCACGTGCCCACCTCTCCACAATCTCTCCAACACATCTGTGAAATTTCCGTATTCATCTTGTGCTCCAGGTAAGGGGTAATGTGCCATCTATTCAAACACTTATAATTTATTTCCACTTCTCTCATACTAATATTTTCGTGAATTAATGTGAACATCTTCTTCTTCTCCTCCTCCTCTATTTTTTTCCCATATCTCTTTCCCATTTCTCTATGTGCATTAATTCTATGTCTGTGTCAAGTTCCATTAATATCTTGTGTATTTTTGCCGTTCCGTGTCTACCATTTCCCCGTGACTCAAAAATTCTCTCAAATGGATTCCAGTCTTTTCTAGTTCTTATAGGTTTTGGAAGGCTTTCAAAAAAGTTCTTCAGTTGGTAATATCTTAATCTATCCATCTTATTAAAGACTTCACCCTTTCTTTCCTCCATATCCTTATATGACCCAATTTCCTCTCCTACCATTATATCTCTCAATTGCGCCTCCTGTTTTATAATCCATTTCCCTGCTATACTATCTTTACCCGGGATGAAATATTTTGTGTTCCTAAGTGGTATTAGTTGTGAATTAAAAACCACCCCTTTTGTCTATGTAATAAATCCCATTCTTTTAAAACAATAAGGGTGTACGTGCTTGTGCTCTCCTCTAATTCTCTGTATTGTGCAGGCACCCAGATACTATTACTCAAACCTATTCCACTCAGTGTTTTCTCAATTTTGACCCAACTTTTCTCCGGATTATGAATCCAGTCGAAGATTCTTGCGATAATCCCCGCTTTGTAATATCTCCTAAAATCTGGTACCCCCAGTCCTCCTCTTTCTTTACTTCTAGTCAACGTTTCATACCCTATTCTAGGCTTTTTATTCCTCCATATACATTTTATTATCATTTTCCTCAGTTCTTTAAAATATGCCTCTGGGAGTTTGATTGGGATCATTTGAAATTTATATAATACTTTGGGGACAATTACCATCTTTATCAAGTTTATACGACCTATCCACGATGGATTTCCATTTCCCACTCTCCTCAATTCCTCCTTAATTTCATTTAATAACATTATATAATTGGCTTTATAAAGGTTTTTATTTGAGGTTGATAGTTTTATTCCTAGATATTTTAATTCTTTGTCTCTCCAAAGGAAAGGGAATTCTACTTGTAGTCTTTCTTTTTCACTGTTTTTGAGATTTATGTTTAAGATTTCGGTCTTTGTCGGGTTAATTTTCAGGTTCGACAGGTCTCCGTACTCCCTCAATGCTTTCATTAAATTTGGAAGTGATGTTCTAGGGTTTCCAACATAAAACATCAGGTCGTCCGCATAGGCCGCTACCTTATGTTCTCTATCACCTATCCTTATTCCTTTTATGTCTATGTTCTTTCTAATCATGGACAGTAAGGGCTCCAGTGATAACACGTATAGCAGTGGGGACAATGGGCATCCCTGTCTTGTACCATTTGACATCTTAAAGTACTCTGATCTTCCTCCATTTACCATTATGGTAGCGGTAGGCCCTCTGTACAACAACTCTCCAATCCACCCTCTCATTCTATCTCCCACTCCCAACGCTTCCAGAGTGTTCATCATAAAACCCCAACTCACTCTGTCGAATGCCTTCTCAGCATCTATCGACATCAGTATCATTGGGGTTTTCCCTTTTTTGCCCTCCTGTATAAGCAACAGTGATCTCAGAGCATTATCTCTACCCTCTCTTCCCGAGACAAACCCCACCTGGTCTCCA